GTAACGTTTAAGTAACGGAGCGACATTTCGGGTCCAGTCAAGTGTCGCACGCCAGAAGCGACTGTCTGATTGTATCTCGCTATTGATACATAGTGGTAAAGCTGAATCTCGAGAAAAAAAAGAAAGAGAGAAAGAGGGAGAGACGGAGAACTCGTTATAATTAGTTGGCATGTAGCAGCGCATAGATTTTCGTTTTTTACGTTTTATTGGACGTCGCGTCAGATGTAAGTCATCCGTTCGACAACCAGCAAAAATTTTTAATTGTCGTCGTAAAAATATAATCGACAAAACGCACGTGATGTTAACGCGCAACTAACTTTTCACAAGCGATATTGAATCCGGTTTATTATTACCCGATTATTTTATCCACTGCTTAGAATGACAGACATTCATCGAAATGTCTTGTTTCTTCTTGTACGTTATTGAAATGAATTTTATATTTCTTGATGCAAAATTTAATTTTTGCTTAAAGTAAATTAAATATTTGTTTACTAAAGTAATTTTACTTTAAATTGTAATTCAGCATTTTGAATTAAAATCAGAATTGTTTGAAATTTAATTCAGCCTTTTATTTGCGGACTTTTTAGAACACTCCCGGAAACCGTAAGTCGGAACTTTTAAATCACGGCACGAACTGCTACCTTGTAGACAGCATCGCACAGGGATAGTTTATATCCTCGTATCGCTCTCGCGCAATGTAACGGATAACAAATAATCTGCAAACACGCCGAAGCGATCGCGTAACAGCCGCGCGAGCCCGCGAAATAGAAAGAGTTAATTGCGGGGTTTAACGCGTTTAACCGTGCATTATTAATCACGACCGCCGACGTAATTATTGCCGGCTATTATTAGACGCTCGCTCACGCGCGCGTACGTTAGCGCCGACATTCGTTCTTTCCGTCTCCCGTCCGCAGATATATTTATCCGCAGGAAAAATGAATAACACGCCTACATTTCGCGTAGGACCCACCCATGGCCGCGAGGACGAGCGTGTGGGTTAGCGATTCGAATCTCACACCTTCGCGCACACGTTAACATTACATTTTGCGGCCACTTCCTATATCATACGCTTCTCGTCGACATCCTCGTTCGAGCACGACAGTGATTTCGAATTACATAGCTACAATATTTTTCAGATATAGAAACCCTATAGAAACAAAGTTATATTATCTCTCTTTGCGTATGTCAATTTTGATAGAAGCATTTCGATTGATTTTCTCTACAGAAAAGTTTACTAAAAAGAAAATAAAACCGCAATTAATTAAATAGCATATTTTTCAATAATTTAAGAAAATTTCAAATAGCTTTTACTTTAACAGAATGCTTAATTTTAAATATTTAGAACATTAAAAACATTGAAAAATTGCCATAAATAAAAATGATTTCCAAATTAACTGCGATTAAAAGAACATCCGGTGAAACTCTGAGACACCCTGTATGTTTAATGTATCTCGAAGTCGAGTATCCTGCGTGAGCAGCAAATTATTGCGTTCCGGAGGACTCTTCGAGCACGAACGCAGAACACACGTGCGTTGAAGTCATCGGCGCAGCGGCAACGTGAGATATATACTTGGCCGTACGTCTGAGATCCAGACGCGAACCCCATTGCGCGATAATTGAAGTCACGCTTCGTGGGAAGCGCGGCCTTCGCAGAGAGAAGTAGAGAGCCATCGTACAAAGGGTTAGACAAAGGGCGCGCTTCAGCGTTTCGACGCAATGACTCTGTATGCCGCCTTCACAACCCCGTCGTGATCTTCGTGGCGCGTGCAAAAAGTCGTCGACGTGGACGAAGCCGATGATGCCGTCCGCGCGCGACGAAAAAGAGGACAGCTTTAACCCATAGGAGCGCGGGGGAGAAGCGGCTCGGATCCGGGCCCTCGGACAGCCGGGCAGAAGACCCCGAGGACGCGGGACGCGGGACCTGAAGAGCGGGTCCCGAAAGCGGAGCAAAAACGCTCGAACTTGCAGAGTCGGCGATTCCCGAAGAGTCGTGGATCCCACAGCGAGCGACGAAAGTGGGAGGAAAGAGAGACGTGACGAAAGAGGAAAGGAAGAGAAACGAAGATCGCGAGAGAGAAGGAGGGGGAGAGAGAAAGAGATATATATGCTATTTATTACACACATTGGAACTGATCACTTTAACAGTATCGGAATGAGAATTTGTATAATCAATATCACAAAAGGATACATTGAATTAATGCATTGCGCATTGCGAAACTCTTTCACTTTTCAAGAAAATATTCCAAAATATTCTTTATTAAATATTCAATTTTCTGCAGATTTTTTTTCGCAACAAATTGGACTTTATTAATTTGACAACAATATTAATCAAAAGTTTCGCACAATAGTAAAGCTAATACGTGAACTATAGTATGAAAGAATCATGTCGCTCGAGAGCATCATTACCGAATAAAGAGTTAAATTTAAGAAGAAGAAGAAGAAAGATGAACGTAGACGAGAAGAACAGAGGGCGAAGAAGAGAAGCTGAGGGCGAAGACAGGCGGGGAGAAAAGTGGAGGAGGGGAAAGGATCTTCAGAAATGAAGCAGCTTTGGCGCATACCGGGGATAGAGATGGGACGGGCTGTGCATTTCTCAGCGGGCCTAAGGCCCTGTGTGCGCGCGCGGTGGTAAGGACTACGCTCGTTCGCTCGAGATCAAGTTTTTCTCGAGTCCTCGAACCTCCGGGAGAGTGAGAGAGCCCGAACTCGAATCCGAGTTGATTTCCTGGCACGCGGTTCATCTTGTCGTTTATTCGCTCCCACTCTTTTCGCTACAGTCGCCTCTGCTTCTTCACCTCTCGCCTCTCTACTTCTTTCCCTGTGCTCGCCAATTCCGCGGCAGGACTGCATCGCGTTAGGATATCAATATCACGTCGTACCATCGAGATTTTCCATTTCCGTTTACAAGTATCCCTCAATGATGCCTGAGTTTCTAATAAAAGTTTGCGGGATTCGAATAGCGAAATCCGTTTAAAATTCAAAACTTTTATTATTTGTTTCTCCATTCTATTATTCATTTGTTCTTCTCGAATTATCAAGAGTTTTTTCTCGTTCGATTGTTGACTGCTAAGCCTAAATATTTTCATTGAGGAAAAGTCGTTTGCTCCGCAAATTCCATCGTTAAAGATTGCAAATTGTGAGACACCCTGTATAAGTGCAGAATAAAAAGCGTGAATTAATTAGGATATGCTACGTTCTAATAAAACGAGGCGAGACGACGGTGGCTGCGCGGCGCGGCGCGGCGCTTTCGTATAAATTTAAAACGCGCCCTGTAATTTAAGAAAACGTCCTGGGTCCTAAACCCTATTTATGCAGCACTGAACCGGCTGTAAACCGTTCGTATTCACGATCTCCTTCTCCTCCTCCGCATCCTCCTTTCTCTCCCTACTACGAGAGAGGCTCTGCGTCCTTCTCTCCGCGCGCGTGTTGTCTTTCCAACCATCGTTCCTCATCTCCGAAAGATTCTTTTCTTCTTACTCTCTCTCTCTCTCTCTGTCTCTCTCTCTCTCTCTCTTCTTCTTCTTCTGTATCTCTCTATCGCCAATTCTAATTGCATTAAGGGTATTGTCGCGTAACACAATTCTCAGGCGGTCGAATTATCACTCGTCTGGCGAGCGAGAGACACGCGGTGCGCGTGTGTTGCCGCTCTAATTATTGTGTCATCGAGAGTGAGAAGGAGAAATTGATGAACGCAGAAATAGAGTCTTAAAGAGACGAACGTGATAATGCTGAAGATGAAATGTCGAAGCTGATACGTTCTTCGATAATAATGTCGTAATTATGCCTTTTGCAACTTGCTTGTATGTACGTGTGGAGGTAAAAATTTGGAAGAAAAATTATTTCTCGAAATAAGTTATTTTATTTAACTTCTCGTAGTTTGCTCGCACGAATCAAAATTTAAACCACGTATTGTTGCAATCTTAGAAATTAAGTTGTAGACTATTATTATTATTACGTTGTGTTCTTTCGCTTGTAAGAGAGTTGCATGGCAAATGGAAGAAATTAATCGAAAGTTAAACTGGCGTATAATTAAATAATTATAATTCTTGTGTTTCGTCGTCAACGTCAATATTTGGATAAAGAAAATGGATGCTATCGACTTCCTCGGAAATTACACGCGGTATACGCGCTCATCTTAATAAAGAGTTCCTTTCAGAGCCCGATACATCATTAGTATCTCCCGAGCGATTAATCACACGTGTAAAGTTATTATCTGTATTCCACAAATCCGTTCGCAGTCCGTTTAATTACAACGGTACGAAAAGTATACGGGGAATAGGAAAGCCGAATCTAGGAATATTTATTATTGAATTTGTGCGCTATCTTCATTAATCATGAGCGAAATTTAATTAATTAACAATCCAGTCTCGCAAACTTACATCATGTACACACTTTTTCAACAAGCAGAAATTCTGCATGCAATTATGTACAGTGCAATTGGCATTGGAAAGGTGAGTTCCATACATCACGATCGATAAATCGTACATATAAGTTTCTTGTGCATATAAAGAAAATACACAGAAAATGATAATAAATAATAAATTATTAATACATTAATGTAACAGTCTTGTTTCGACGAATATGTTTATTCATTCAATATTATCGCACAACATTTACCGTTTTAATAACTTTACTATTCATACGGCTTACACGCTAAGAATAAATCCGCGGAGATTATGAATGAAATAAAAAATGTTTCTCAACCATTCTAATCTGTATCAATCATCACGCCGTCGTATTTGTCTCGCGGTATCGCTTTAATAATTAAAATATTGCCGTTGAATATTTCGCGATGTAAACGACAATGTGGACTTGCTCGCTCGTCTCGGGATCTTATCCGGCAATCGAGAAATTACATTACGCGAGGTGAACGCTTGGGACGGGAGAGGGGGGAGACGGGCGCGCCGCGCAAAAAGCACCGAATATCTTTCAGGAGCCGACGAAGGAAGCATCATTAATATCACCGGGACGATCAATCAAAAAACCGTGCGTAGACTTACTTTGGTGGACGTTGTACTGGGCCTGGTGCCGCCTATGCCGATGGCGTACAGCTCCACCTCGTACCACTGAACGCCGGTCTCGCGATCGAGCTGGGCCGCGGTCGACAGCACGCCGGTCTTCGTATCGATGTCGAAGAGCCGTTCGACCTGGGGCCCGTCGCCGGGGCCGCCGCCGGCGGTCACGTTCGTCACGTAATATTCGACCTCGATGTTAGAACGACGGCTGCGCGCGCTCACACGCAGAATGCTGGTGCCGACCGGCTCGTTCTCGTAAACGCTACCCTCGATCTGGCCTCGATGCTCCCAAATTGGCTGATCGTCGCCGTCCTCGCCCGGCATAATCAGGGTCACGTAAGTCTCGGACGAGCGACGCTCCGCTTGGACCGCCTCGTCCGTCGCTCGGATGCCTATCTGGTATTTGGATACTCGTTCGAAGGGATCGCTCTTCGGAGCGGATCGCGGCAGTCTCATGGTCAATTGGCCGGTGTTGCGGTGAATTCGGAACATGTCCGAGTAGTTGACGCTAGAAGTTCGGAGAAGTTCGTACGTCACCAGGCCGTTGGAGCCGGAATCGAGATCGCGGGCGGCAAGCTGCGTGACGACGACTTCTTTAACCGGCGATTGATGATAATTGAAATTGTTGGCATGCAGCGGCGGTAGCACCACCGCCGACATACTGATGAAGATCGGCGCGTTGTCGTTCACGTCCTCGACGATCACGACCATCACCTTCTCGGCGGACAGGCGTGCGCTCGGCGACTGCGCTCGGTCGGTCGCGACCACCACGAGTCGGAACGTATCGACCTCTTCGCGATCGATCGGCAGCAGCGTATGGATTACGCCACTCGATGGATTGATGCCGAAGCGGCGCACCTGATCCTCCGGATCCTGGCTGAGTATCGAATAGCTGATGACGCCGTTCTCGCCTGAATCCGGGTCCTCGGCGGTGATGGTGACGATCGGCGTACGCACGGGGATACCCTCGCGTATCTGGCGCACTAACGCGGTCATCGGGAACATGGGCGGATTATCGTTCGTGTCGATCACCTCGACCGTCAGATTGATGAGCGAGCTGAGCCGCGGCTGACCGTTGTCGCTGCAGCTGATGTTTAGCGTGTGCCGATGCTGCTCTTCGTAGTCCAGAGGTTTTTTCAGATACAGAATGCCGGTTAGCGAGTCGATGTAAAATATGTCTCTCTTGTTTCCGCCCGAAATCGCGAACGTCAGTTCGCTGTTGAGCCCGAGATCGTTGTCGGTAGCTTTGAATCGCAGCAATTCGGTGTTGATCGGCGTGGTTTCCAGCACGGAGATTCGCGATTTGTTATCAACGAAGCGCGGCACGTTGTCATTCTCGTCGAGTACTTGGATGCGAACGGTCGCGCTGGACGACAGGCGTGTTTCCAGCCCGGCGTCGTGCGCGACGACGGTGAGTACGTAGGTGTCGGACATTTCGCGATCGAGTTCCTTCATCAGTGAGATCTGCCCGGTCGCCTCGTCTATCATGAAATGGCCGTGTTGGTTGCCGTTCTCCAACGAATAGAACACGTCGCCGTTCAGACCCTCGTCGGCGTCGCTCGTGTACACTCTTAACAGCTGCGTGCCGATCGCGGCGCCTTCGCTCACCTGCACCTGATAGGGTGTACGCTGAAATTGCGGCACGTTGTCGTTGACGTCGGCGATGTAGATAGTAACCTTGACGCGATCGCGAAGACGGTCGACGCCGTTGTCGGTGACGGTGGCCTCCAGGGTGACGTAGCTGGCGCCGGTGCTGGCGACCAATTGCTCGCGGTCGAACACGCGCAGCGACTTGACGAAGCCGTTTCGCGGATCGACCACGAAGTCTTGTTGATTCGCCGACAACGAGAACATGAGATCGGCGTTACGGCTGACGTCGTGATCGGTGGCCAGTAGCTTGCCGACAAAAGTGTCGGGTGGCTCGTTTTCGCGCAGATGGAAACTGAAACTGCTGTTGGTGAATTCGGGCGCGTTGTCGTTTACGTCGATCACATGCACGATCACCGGTACGACAGAACTTCGCGACGGATCGCCTTGATCGGACGCGGTGACCTCGAGCGCGTAATAATCTTGTTTTTCGCGATCGAGAACGTTTTTCACGTACAGCTGGCCGTCCGGGAAGATACCGAAGCATTCCTCGACCGTGTTGCCGTCGGTCACCGTGTACAGCACTCTGCCGTTGGCGCCGAGATCCGCGTCATGCGCCATCAGAGCGAAGAAACGCTCGTTGACCGGCGTGGATTCGGGTAGCGAGATCTCGTAGGTGGTCAAGCGGAAAACCGGCGTATGATCGTTGACATCCTCGATCGTCACCCAGACTTGATGTTGCGCGGACAGCGGCTGGCTGCCGGAATCGGTGGCCGTTACTTCGAGATGGAGCACCGTGCCGGGAGGCGCTCGAATCGGTTTATCCAGGTAGATGATGCCCGATTTCTCGGCCACTCTGAACTGTCCGTTCGGATTATGCGTGAGAGAATACGTGATTCTGGCATTGGCGTCGGCGTCGCGGTCTCTGGCCCGCGCCAAGCACACTTCCTGTCCCACCGCCGCGCTTTCCGGCAGAAGAATCTCGTCGCCGCGATCACCCTTCGGAAACCTCGGTGGATTGTCGTTGAGGTCTTGCACGGTGATATTGACGGTCGTGTGGCCGTACGCGAAATCGTCGCGCACAGTCAGCCGCAAACTGTAATAATCCATTTGCTCGCGATCTAGACACGCGGCGGTGCTGATTGTGCCGCTGCTCTCGTCGATCCTGAAGATGCCCTTCGGGTCGCCGAACACGATGGAGTAGCGCACCTCTCTGTACTGCGTTATCTGCACCTTGCCGATCTCCCGACCAAAGCCGAACGAGATCGCGTCGCAGTCGCCTCGATCTTCGGGAATGCGAAACTCGTAGCCGTTGTAGGTGTCGAATTCCAAAAGCTCCAAATCTTCCATACGAATAATCTCCACCACGGCGCTCCTGTCCGCCATCCGATCGCCAGTGTCCTTTGCCGAAATGGTCAGCTTGTACAATGTTTTTCGCAATTTAGCGGTAGAGGTGAGAAGAGTGATATCGCCAGTTCTCTCGTCCACCGCGAAACGATGCTCGCCGCCGGATTCCAACGAATACCGCACCTGAGCATTTTCTCGGCTGTCGGCATCGGTCGCTGTGATTTTACCTATCGTCGTACCCGCCTTAGCTCCTTCGGGAACGAACATTACATATTTCCAAGGATAGAAGACCGGCGAGTTGTCGTTGACGTCCTCCAGTGTCAGAATTACGGTGGCTGTTGAGGACAGCACCGGTGTACCTTGATCTTTCGCCACCACGAGAATAGTGTATTCCTTAATAGTCTCGCGATCCAGATCGGTCTTCGTCGTCAACTGCCCGGTCAATGCGTCGAGCGCGAAAGTCTTGGGGTAATCGCGCAAGACGCTGGGGTGAAAGCTGTACGTGACACTGCCATTCGTACCCTGATCGTTGTCGATGGCCGTGAGTGTAGCGACTGGACTATCTCGCGGCGTGTTTTCCGACAGCGTGACCTCGACGACGGTTTCGGTGAAGCGCGGCGCTTCGTCATTCTCGTCGAGAATCGTAACTTTGAGATGTGTGGACGCGTATTTGGCGTTCGGACCGCCGTCTCGCGCTGACACACGCAGCTCGATGCTGCCGTGTATCTCGCGATCCAAGGCAGCCACGGTGGTGATGAGGCCCGTGTTGTTGTTGATGTAGAACCAGCACTGTTCGTTGCCGGAACTGATCTCGTAGGTGATTTTGGCGTTCAGCCCGGAATCCGCGTCTGTCGCCGAGATGCTGCTGACGAAGCTGCCGATCGGCGCGAGTTCCGACAACACCGCCGAATATTCGCTCTGCTGAAAGACGGGCTCGTGATCGTTTATATCGTTCACGTAGATAACGAGATAGGCTGTAGCCGATCTGGGCGGCGTGCCCTTGTCGGTCGCGACGACCGTGAGATTATACTTGGGTATCTCCTCGCGATCCAGCCGGCCGTTCACCCGCACGATATTGAAAGTTTGCGTTTCTTCGAGCCAGAAGTGGCTCAACTCGTTACCGGCGCGTATCTCCAGGCTAGTCTCGCCGTTCGGTCCTTCGTCTTCGTCGGCCACCGTCACCGCCGCGACAATCGTGTTATTCGGGGTGTTTTCGTCGACATTCGCCACTTCCGCATGCGGTGGGATAAAGGAAAACTTGATCAACGGATCGTGATCGTTGGCGTCTAGCAGATTCACCGTCACGTACGTACGACCGTCCTGCCTGGGCAAGCCGTGATCGCGGGCGAAAACTCTGATGACGCAGCTCTTGGAGCAGTTGCCGTCCGTGCGAGCCAAGCCGCAGTTTTGCCGAGGGCACCGCAACGGCTCCGCCGTCCGGATCGTGCCGCTCTCCGGATCGATCGTGAACTTGCGCTCATTCTCCGTTAAATAATATGTGAGCTTCGCATTATCCTCCGAATCCTTGTCGATGGCGTTCACCGTCAGCACCGTCGTGCCGACCGGCGCGCTCTCGTTCAACTCCACTACGTAATCGCTGTGCACGAAGACGGGAGGATTGTCGTTCACGTCCAGGACGGTCACGTTCACCAGCAGAAAACCTACGCGCGGCGGTTGGCCGCGGTCGCGCGCGCATATGTTGAGCGAATAAAACTCCACTTGCTCGCGGTCCAGTTTACCCGTCGTCTCCAGGTGCAAGTACGATGTTTCACCGGTCGGATTGCCCGTAATACTCAGACGGAATTTTCCGTCCGTGTTGCCGTCTACGATGAAATAATCGTCGAGAACGCCGTTCTCCGGTGTGTCGCGGTCCGTCGCGGCGTCGAGCAGCAGCTTCGTGCCCGGCGCGGCCGATTCCGAGAAGCTCACCGTGATGATAGGATCCTGGAATTCCGGGTCGTTGTCGTTGACGTCAAGCACGAGAATGCGCACCTCGATCGGATAGGTCGGTTGACTCGACAGCACAACCAGGTCGAAGCGATCGCTGCTCAACGCCTCGCGATCCAGCACTTTCGCCGTTTTGATTTCGCCGCTCTTCGGATCGAGCTCGAACTCCTGGGGCGGCTCGTTGAATCTGTAGGTGAAATCCGATTTCACCGGTATCGTGCCGACGAGAGTGCCCTTGGGCTCGCCCTCCTTCACTTCGAGCTGGACCCGCGTGTCGACCGCTCTGCTCTGCATCGTCAGGCCTGTCGTCGCGGCGCTGTCCTGCGGCAACATCGGTGACCTTCGTGGCACTAACCGCGTGACCCTTTGAGGTAGGTTGTGATGCGAGGTGAAGACGGACGGCGCCGCC